ATGAGAGATGAATTAGTTTTATTAATAAATATTATTTTAGCATAAACGAAAATTTAACTGAAAACATCATATGGACCTTTGATATTTTAGTGGTTTAACTCTATTAATATATGTATATAAAATTAAGAATAAGGTTGACTATTGGACAGCGGCGGAGGTTGTCTCTGAAGTGAAAAGGGCATTCACATTGTAAGGAAAATATTATTTTTTAATTGAAGCGATTGCTTATTTAACTAAGACGGAGTGGCTGGCAATAGCGTACGTGTTGTTCCCTTGAATTCACTCATTGAGAGGAGAGGGACATGAGAGGGCTTAAGTTGTGTTGCCAAGGATTTGGACATGACATAATCCTGGAACCTGAGCCTAAGGCCAATCAAATAGAGTGGAGCCACAAAGCCAGAGATGCAAGTGTCATTCCCCCTAAGAGAAAGTGTGTCAAGAAAATGATGTGCACTTGTTTTATCCAATGTCTCTGTGATAAGTGCTCCAACAACAACTCCAAGACCAAGAACAAGAACAAGACCAAGAACAATACCACCACCATGCCTGGCTATGCTGCAGGTAATCAATCATTTTGCTTTACTTTACCATTGCCTAATTGAGTTATATGTTCATTCACTCATTCACCTGTGCTTTACTTGTTTTCATTTGTTGTAGCCAATTATGGAGACTAATCAAAGACCATCTGGAAACACCTTCCCAGGAACATATTTAACACTTTCCTACTTTACAGAAGATCATATCAATAAGGAATAACAGACTCATTATCACTTGGAAGTTTAATTTTAGACTTATACTATTTATAATATCAATATATATATGTACACCCTTACCAAAATGCATGTACACGTTTTTTATTATTTATTTGAAGAGAAATGAGGTCTGGTGGTAATATTTTAATAGATGAATATTGTTACGTGCGAAGAAGGTGATGATCAGGGTCATGATTTTCGTTAATTTTTCTTTTTTAAATTGCATTATCCAATAAAAGTGAAGGTTTCTTAACAAAAAGCAATCTTCTTATTTAAAGGTTAAAAGAAAGAAAAAGTAAACATGCATGTGTGTTTTACGGAAATCACAATTGTTGAATTCTTTTCATACCAAGCGATCTTAGCTTTAATAGTCTTACAAATAGACATGACATGTAAGTAATGAGTTTAATAGACATATATAATTAATGTATAGAATTTTACACATCAACCAATTAGAAATTAACTTTAGTATGATTCTTAAAGTGAATATCATTAAAGTTAATAAACTAAGCATAATAGTTTAAGATCAAGACGACAAGACAATACCTATACAATTTTTTTCTTCATGTTATTCAATTAACACATAATTAGTAAAAACATGTTCAAGAATACAATATTAATATTTCTCTAAAATGAAAAAATATTAGGTAATTAATCCGGGATCATTATGATCACTACTCGACACCAATGAAAGAATATCGTGTAAATTGATAATTTTGAACAAGTATGATACAGACATTAGTCAATAGGAGTCAAGAACTCCACTATTGGCTTAACTTTTGAGTGCAGTAAAAAACTACTGGGCACTGTGCCTTAATTCAAGGACTATCCACATATAATCCAAAATTGTAGGGCCGCAAAGAGATCATCCAGAACCCACAAAGCCACAATCGATTAATTAAAGGACAAGATTTTCTTTTAGGGGAAAAAAGAAGCATAACTTATGATCGTTGATGAAAGATGATGAAATGAAAATGATGCTTTTTCCTTTCTCTCTCTCTCTTTTTTTTTTTTTCCTGGGAATCTCGTCGTCTTGGGGTGAGATTCCTGACATATTTATGATATTCCACCATAAACTCCATTTTTCGTGTGGCTCAGACGAAATATCAAAGTTTTTGCAGCTCATAGTTTTGATTTGATTCTATCATGTTAAGATGCCGATCGATCGAATCCAATAATGTAAAACACTAAAACCTATAACGTGAAACGGAAGAAATCTTTTGGGTTGTCATAGCTCATATCATATTATTAATTCATGCCTCATCCTTGGCATCTGCATATGAACACAGGCTTTTCTCTGTCTTTAATTTATCACGTTTTTTATTTATATTTTTTAAAACGTGGTAATGATGCAAAATTTTTAACATTGAACCTCCTTAAATAAAATATTTTTTATATGTCTTAAATAAAATATCATAAACTTCATGACAAAAAGACAACGTGTCGTATCCACAATCCTTCTTTTTATTCTTTGTAAAATAGGAGTTTCCTTAAATAACCTAGCAGACACAAACCAAATCCATTAAGAGTAATCATTGTTCCTCATATAATTAAATGGAGGATATCATATCACCCGACACCATGGCATGGGCCATCGTCGATTTCTTGGTCTAATAGGTTAGCTAGGCCAAATTGATGATATGTTTTTTTTTTTTCTGTCACTTCAAAATTGATACAAAATAAAGAATAACATTAGATTAGAAAGCCTAATTATTTTCAAGTCAACATTTTATAATATATTGAGTCTGTCAAATCCAACCAAATTAATTCAAATTTTTTTCCTGGATTTTAAATATCAAGAGCTTAGTCCCACTTTATTTAGGTGCTGTTCAAGTGAGGCCCATTTTCCAACCTCTAAGATATATACGAGGGATTAAGTTATTTTGAAGTAGTTCCTAGCTGTGAACTTTCTTGGTATATATATAATTAAGTGTACAAATTTTGATGAAATTTTATAAATATTTCAGATTTTATGAAACAATTTTATTTAACATATATTATATTTTTAAAAAAAAATATAAGGGAATGTGGATCGTAAGATATAAATTAATATTTCAAATAATGCTTGTTTCATGTATAATAAAAATATTCATTTTGTGAGATATTTACTAGTTGGTTTGAATTTTAGGTAGGTGGTAGCGTTTTAAGGATAAGATCCACGTATCCAACACAAACAAGTGCTTTATATTTGGTGCATCTTGGTTTTAGATTTTGAAGTTTGAAGCAAGGAAGGATGAGCGAAACGGATTCAAGAAAATCATCATCGCATTGGGTTGATGGTAAGGGCCAATCTGGAGAGTCCAAAGACTCCAAACCCAAAACCACTCCGATGAATGGCCCGAAACCCTTTGTGGTTCCCACAAGAGGAGCTGTAATAAAACGGGTTGTGAATGGGATCTTCAGATCTTGAGTTCCTCTACCTCACATTAACTCAGTATTTGGTTTTCTCTCTTTATTGAGACACCAACGCATATCTATCTATGTTTGCAACTATTATCCTTCCTCGTATGCACTATGTATCTCATGTAGTCCTTATCAACTACGAATCATGAAATGTTGTAATAAACTTTCCTAGCCCTTTCAAGAGATCATTTGTTCACCTTAACTGATTACAACCCATGTAATTGAATTCATTGCTCTGGCTCATTCACATTATTCTTGTGTCTCAATTCAAGTCATTCATCGATTTTCCTATTATGTGTTTCTTTTGGAATCTTTCCATCCCAATATTATATTATCAGCGATTCTTCTTATCCTCTTCGTTTTGCTTTTGAACAAACTAAAGTATCTTTTGGCATTTACTTTTATCGTCGATCTCTCCCGACAACAAGATCGGAGAAATTGAGGGATATTTGAACGGCTATTTATCAATTCTGTATAACTTTATACCCTCTTAATCAATCATTTAATTAGTAGTATTATTTCTACATCTTTTTATATGTAAAGAGGAAGAAAATGTAAGATAAGATGGGTAAAGTGATAGAAAGAGATAACGAGAAAAATAAGTAAATTATAAATAAGCATTAGTGGAGATAATATTACTGTGATTTTATATTCTTTGTAATTATTTAAACAAAAATACTAAATATTTTTCAAACATTCCAAATTCTAATTATTTCTGTTTTTATTTTTTATATTTTCAAAACATTTAAAAATAGAAAGATAATGCATTAAGCGAATATTTTGTTTTATTTTTTCGAGCGATGCCTTCAACTTACAAGGTTTCTCGGTATAACTCTTCTTGTTTTTTTCCCAGTGGAATGGAACATTTTTTTTCCCTTTTTTCAGTTGGTGTAAAATTCCAAGGCTCGTCAAAAAAAAAAATTGCAAGAGCAAATTAAAAATAAGATTATTTTTATGTATTGCTGAGCTTAAACAAATAATTATTTTTATTAGTTTCTTTTTACAATTTTTTCCCTAAATTTACAAATTATTGAACATACTCTTACTACTAAATTTTTTTGAACTAAACGTTACCTATCTCTCATAACAAATGTAAAGATAAAACAAGAAAGAAAGACATAAATGATAGATGTATATTGTATAACAATCCGTGCAATGAAGAGAAAACAGAGAAAAATTTAAAATGTAATAAATGATGTGATAGATGTTATATGAATTGTTGACTAATAATATTATTTAAAGAAAAATATTAGTTAATATCTAATATATTTTATGAAAAATATAGTATTAATGTTGTTAATGTATTATATTATACCATGATTTATAATGAAGAAATTTGAATTGATAATTTTGAGAATGTATCAAGAGTTTTGTTCCATTTCTTTTTGCTGTATTTTTCTTCCTTCTGTGTTATGGTGCATGGTGTCAAGACTTTAAGAGCTGTCAGCTGGTAAAATGAACTAGAAATGTCTTGGGCCTTGGGGTTTGGGCTGCCCAGAGGTTAAATCTTTTAGGGCATACAAAGAAATCATTACTGTGTGATCTAAGATCCAACCTAATAATGTAGTAGATGGGTGAGCCTAGCCCACAATGAACACAAAGACTTAGACCCTACCATTACTTCCAAATCTGAAAGGTCAAAAGCAAGAAATGATGATAGTATCCGCCACCACCAATACCATGTTGCTTACATAACCGTTGGCCAACGGAACCCCTCCCCGGTACCAAAATTCAAACAAACACTCTGAAAAGCAAAAGCAAAAGACATTCCCTCACTTTCCCTTCCTTTTTTCAAACGCACTAACTTGCAACGTTATATCAAACCTAATTAAACTCCTCACTCTCCTTCTTAATTCTTCCTCAACGTCCCTCCCATATCCACTCTCATTCATTCTCCTTTCCCATAATGGGTTGCTGCGTTAGCAAATGCAAACCCTCCCCCTCCCCACAAGAAGAACACCTCTTTAACGTCCAACAAAAGCTTCCCATCTCACAAACTCCACCTATTATTCCAATTCCAACCCTCTACTCCTCCACCAGAATTTCACCCTCCCCTCCTTCTCCAACCTCTTCCACTTCCTCCATTTCTTCCTTCACATGCACCACTACCAACACCTCCTCCTCCTCATCATCATCTTCCTTCACCTCCAAGGACCGATCCTTCTCCAACGACTTCCTATGGTCGTGTTACAAAGACAACCCTCACATCACTCGCATCAACTCTCTCAGGGAACCCTCTCTCTCCTTCATGCCCCCAACCAAACCTAAACCCCAACACACAAACACAAAAACGTTAAAACCCAACTTGGCAACAACGCTCAAGCAGTCCCCAACGCAATCTCTCTCCATGCCGCAGAAGAGAGTGCGATCAAACTCCCCAACGAACCTCACAAGACAGAAGAGCTTCCGAAAGGACACAGAGAGGTCTATTATTATTAACTATGCTTCCAACAACATGCAGAGTTGGACGTCACCGAGTAGAAGATTCAACGGAGCTGACAAATGTGCAAGTCCTAATAATTTGGCTACAACGGTCACAGACTCCAGGCGAAGGATGATGAATAGCTCCAAAGTTAGTGTCAGTGCAATTCATTCTCATTGTGTTTCGTCTTCCACGAGGAAAGAGAGTGTTAAAGGTGCGAGTCCACGTAGAGTAGTTCATTCTGGTTTGAGGCACACCGAGAGTTGCAGTGTCGGGGTTGGTTCAAAAGTTGATGAAACCGTGGTTAAGGATGTGATGTCTGACCATGACATGGACTTAACTCTGATGGAGGATATCGACAACCCTCTTATCTCCTTGGATTGTTTCATCTTTTTGTAGAAAACGGTCGTGTGTGTCTCCTACATATTCATATATTTTGGTGTCCATACGATGTTTTACTTTTTGTTTGTTTGTTTGTTTTATTTATTTTTTATGTCTGTTGAATATTACAGTTAATTTATTCATAACTCCCCTGGAGTTTACAAGGTTGATGAAATTATTGTTTCAACCTTTTTAGATATAGGATTGCAAACACTGTTGTGTGTTTCCCTTGCCCTGTTTGAATTTGTTATGTTTGATGAGGCTTTGAGCATGATGAGACAAAGTCTTTTATAACGTGAGAGTGTAATATGTACAACATTTTTATTAAATCAGCGGTGCTATATATAGCACGAAAGATGTGAATGCATAGGTGGATGGATTTTTTTAAAAGTAAACATGAATTAAAAATTAAAATGTTTTTTTTTTCCCATTTACAAAATACAGTTTCTTGCTAATTCAACGAAAAACGTTTTCGTACAATATAATTAGCATCTGTAACTAAATTTTAATTTGATTATCAAATTTTAAATATAATTTAACAATATTAAGATACATCAAGATACAAGGGCAATGGCTTAAAAAAAAATACGAAATAGTACATGGACGTGATTTTCCAAACTACGACCCGAACAGGTTCAAATTAAAGTGGGTATTGGTGTACTACCAAACACCACTACAAGAAACATAGTGGTAGAGAAGACGTGGACACTAAACTCTATTCAGATCACAAATAAACCGTATAAACCATTGATATTCGACTTGATGTGATGTTTATACTATTTTAGTAGGAAGTTCATTCAAATTTATTAAAAAAAAGTATCTCTTATATGATTTTTTTTCTTCTTAAATTTATTTTAATGCTTTTTTTAATGACCTAATAAAAGAAGTTCTTATCGACTTACTCTACTTAGTCCAGTTTTGTCAGATATATAACAGTTCGATGTGTCACTACACTTTATAATTTAATAATTAAGTAGCAAAAAATAATTAAATAAGTCAATTACACCAAAATTATCATGTAATAATATCTAAATATTCATATAATATATATATATAAGGTGTAATAAATATAAATCCTACAAATTTTGATTTAAAAACATAAAATCTGTTTATGGAGTCCAATAAAACTTTGTACATATATATAAATATACATGTAGTAAGAAATATCGAAAGCATAAAGACCTTAATGTTTGTCAAGTATCTACTATCCATAACTACATTAGAGTAGCACCAAACAAAAATATCGTCATCTCCAACATGACACTCAAACAACTAGTCCTCCAACCCAATATTATCCTTCTCCTATAATGATATAATCATCACAATCCAACAATAAGGAAAAATAAAGATAAACTCATGAATAACAAAGCAACATATAATTATAGAAGTAAGACACAAACTATGTTAACAACTTCATCATATCAATGCCACAACAACCATAGCTCAACTTAACGATATAGATCAACCTGTCAACTTTAACCTCATATATATATCCACACAATTATACAATTTTTATCAACAATGCACAACATATCATCTTAGCTTACAACACAACCATAAACGACACAACAATTCACAATTCAACAACTTAAACAACACTACAAAATGATAACAGTACAACATGACAACACTACAACATGGCAAAACAACAACAAAATGTGTCGTCATGTATTTCAATTAAGAGATCTCTTATAACATAAACAAAAAAGTTTAAGTGGTTTGATCATACCAAACCAACTTAATGACGTAGTCTTTCTTAACTTACTAAATTAACAACAAATTTGGATATTAATTCATAACACCACATGATTTCTCAAATTTTGTCACTTAGTCTAGTACTCATCGTCAAGAATAATATAACTTGGGTTTGAGTCTATCACGACATTAACATGTCACACACATTTTTAATAATTAGTTAAAGATTTTACCCATCGACTTCATACCTTATTAAGATTGGTCGCTTCTAAACCAGTATAGTTTGGCTTGACTCTCATACAATATCGATTAAGGACTTAGAAGAGATTTAACACTCTACTTCAAGATACAATTATACTCAAGAAGGAATTTTTAACAATTGAGCTCTTAGAGCAACACAACACATCCACATGAAGTTAGATGAAAACATATAGAAGGGGGGTTGAATATGTGTGTGTGAACAAAGGAATTTTAAAAACGTTTTCGTAGAGAGGCTCTTTTTCGTCCAATAAAAATATTATTTTGAATGCTTAACAGAAACTGTGCAGGATTGGTTCAACAAAAAGATTTTTGCGTTTGAGAGTTTATCGTCTGCACAGGAAAATGCTTCTTAAACAAAAACTATTCTTTAAGATAATAAATTAAACAAGTGAGGTTTTCATTTGAAGATAGTTATAATGAACAATAAGCATTGGACGAAGTTTTCAGTATGATAAATCAACTAAATGAAAGTGCATCTGAAACATAGAAAAATAGTGCAAGTATTTTTATTCTGGTTCGCTCAAATTGAGCTACGTCCAATTTCCTTTAATTGAAGGGTTCTACTAGATATTCAATTAAGTACAAGTATTATTTGTTCATCCTCTTCAGGCTCGTAGTGAGTATTCTCGACCACTTCTGCTAGTCTCGAGTAGTATCAACCACTCCTGGTTCTCCAAATTCACTCATTGGCGCTAGTATTCTTTATTCAGCCTCTTTAGGCTCGTAGTGAGTATTCTTGACTACTCCTAGTCCCGAGTATTCTCAACCACTCCTGGTTGGCTAGCTTCACTCACTAGTTCTAGTATTCTTTGTCCAGCCTCTTCAGGCTCTCAGTGAATATTCTCGACCACTCTTGGTCCCGAGTATTCTCACCCACTCCTGGTTGGCTAGCTTCACTCACTAGCTCTAGTATTCTTTGTCCAGCCTCTTCAGGCTCTCAGTGAATATTCTCGACCACTCTTGGTCCCGAGTATTCTCAACCACTCCTGGTTGGCTAGCTTCACTCACTAGTTCTAGTATTCTTTGTTCAGCCTCTTCAGGCTCTCAATGAGTATTCTCGACCACTCCTGGTCCCGAGTATTCTCAACCACTCCTGGTTGGCTATTAGTATACTAGTATTCTTTATTCATTCTCTTCAAGCTCTTAGTGAGGATTGTTGACCACTCTTGGCCCACTAACTTCACTCATTTGCGCTAGTATTCTTTAATCAGCCACTTCTGGCTCGCAATGAGTATTCTTTGACAAGTCTCTCCAGGCTTTTACAAGTATTCTTTCTCTAGCCTCTTCAAGCTTTACAAATGATAGATATATGGTTTGGTTTGAGTGTTTGGTTTACTCTCACAGAGAGGATACAAAGATGACTACACTCACTAAGGTTCATGATTTTAAGTTTCACTTAGAACTCCTTAGTCTACAGAGCTAAATACATTATGTCACATTTGACTCTAAACGCTTTGTCTCTAGTTTCGTTGCTTCATGGGCTTGATATCATTTTTTTTCAATGCCAACGCCAACCTTTCTAGGTTTGAAGTTATGACATATATATAGTCTTGTAAAATTTGCCCGTTGCAAATGTCCGTTGAAGCTGGATGTAGTCGTTCATGACTAGTTTGATCTTTCATTTAATGCACAAGATCTTGCATTAAATGTTGCTTCCTATTTATAGACATTGCGTGAAGTCTTATTCGTTTTGTTAGTAGCAATCTCTAAAAGAAAAACACAAATTTTTGACAGAAAATTTTTGACGAATATGAATCCGTCGAAAAATATAAATTCCTGACAGAAATATAAATCCGTTGGAAATTTTTGTTTCCCTAATGTCCCTTGTTTTAACTCTTCAGAAATTCGATGATCGCTTTTTTTGAAATTTATAAATATTATTTTTAATATTATAAAATGAATAAATTTTATTTTTATTTTTTTTAAAATATTTCTTTAATTTTATCTTTTTAAAATGACTTAAATATGTCTTTAATCCTTATAAAATTAATGTTTTGATTTTAGTTTCTGTAAAAAAAAAAAAATTGTTTTTCATTTTCTAAAATTGAAATTTTTATTTTTAATTCGTATTTTTTATGTAATTACTTTTAACTACTATTTATTTTTTTAAAAAAATATAAATACTTATCTTAGGTGTCACCTACAACAATTACGTACGATTATCAAATTGATATTTAACACCTCTAAATTTTTTTTATTTTTTTAAAATAAATATTATCTATTTACCTTAAAATAATCAAACTAGTAAATTTATATTTTAAGCCTTGTATGCTTGAAACAAGCCTTTCGAGCTTGACTTTCTTACACCAACATGGGTTCTCAAAATGTTCAATGGAGTTTGGGATATATGTGAAGATGAAGAATGATGTTGATTTGATTTTGGTATGTATGAATGTGGATGATCTTCTTGTAACAAGCAATAATAGCTTTGAAATTGAGGAATTCAAGGGGAGAATGAAATCAGGATTTGAGATGATTGACTTTGAAATTCTCAATTACTGCCTTGTTTATAGAATGAACGACACAAATATTTGCAATACAAATCATGTTCACATCACTTTAAAGAGTTACAATTTCGCTTGTAAAGATATTTGACTAAGTGATTAAATGAAGAAAAGACTACTAAACTATCTCCTAATCCTAAAAAGAGAAAATAAAAGAGGAAAGAGAATGCCTAGTTACTATTGGGGAAAGACAATATCTACTACAACATGTGTTGAACAAATGTCCTAGAAAGAGAATAAGGACAGTGACTCCCGAGAAAGCATGGAGTGGGCATAAATCAAGTGTTAATCATCTGAGAATTTTTCATTCCTAATGTTACAAACACATTTTGGATCAAAAGAGGAGGAAAAATGGATAACAAAAGTGAAGTACTTATGGACAAGAAGTTGTACAATCCAAGCCAAAGAAAGGTTGTTATTAGTTGGAATGTTACTATAGATGAGATATATAGTATCACAAAGCCAAGAGAATAAATTAGATTCAAACACCTATGTTCAACTTGAACTTGAAGGGGGTGAACAAGTTAAACCCAATACTTCAATTCCTACTATGCAACAACAAGAGAGAAAATCATAAAGGTTATAATTCCCATCAAGCAGACTTGTAGATCATGAAGTGTTTCTAAGCGATGTCATTTCGTCTAATGGTGAGCTAGTGCATTTTGCTTTCATGGCAGGCTTATAACCAATAAATTATGAGCAGACTCTTAAACAAAAGTAGTGGAAGGATGTATAAATGAAGAAATTAATGTTATAAAGAGGAATAATAGATGGGAGCTTGTAGATCCTCCAACTACAAAGTAATCAATTGATGTGAAATGGGTGTTTAAGTTGAAGTTGAAAGGAGATGATTCAATCATAAAGCATTTGAAAAGACTAGTTGCTAG